GGTTTGGTTTTTGTTTGTTTGTTTGTTTGTTTGTTTTGTTTTTGACCCTATCGATTTCCTTTTGGAGTGCCTGTCCAGTCTAGTTCTTTCTATCTCCCTCTTCTTCTACAAGGTTTCTTGCATTCTGTATAAACTTATGAATACCAAATGTGCATTCAGACTTTTCTACAAGGAAACATATTAAACATAAAAGTTGTTCCTCCTAAAAGTTAACAATTGTATTTTTTAAATCAGACTGTATAATTATTAATCATTGGTTTACACCTGAAAGTTATTACATAAACCCCAAACGTTCTTTATGCACCTAAATTCATACATGTACATATGCAAAGAAACATACGGTTTATTAATAATAATAGTAATAATAAACTAGAGCAACAGTATTAAAAATGACATGCTATTAGCATAGAAACATACTAGTGGATCAACAGAATTGAATCAAAGGTGCAGATATAAACCCACATACCTACAGATACTTGATTTTTGACAAAGAAGCCAAAACCATGTAACAGAAAAAAAGATAGTATCTTCAACAAATGGTGCTGGTATAACTGGATATCTACAAATGTAGAAAAATACAAATATGTCCATATTTATCAACCTGCACAAAACAAAAGTCCAAGTGGATTAAAGACCTCAACATAAAACCAGACACACTAAATCACTTAGAAGAAAAAATGGAGAAGAGCTTTGAACTAATTGGCAGAGGAGACAACTTCCTGAACAGCACACCAACAGCAGAGACTCTAAGATCAACAATCAATAAATGGGACCTCATGAAGCTGAAAACCTTCCGTAAAGCAAAGGAAACTGTCATTAGAACAAAACAACAGCCTACAGACTGGGGAAGGATCTTCACCAACCCTATATCTAACAGAGGGCTAATATCCAATATATATAAAGAATTCAAAAACTTAAACACCAACAAACCAAGTAACCCAATTAAAACATAGGTTACAGAGCTAAACAGAGAAGTCTCAACAGAGGAATATCAAATGGCTGAGAAACACTTAAAGAAATGCTCAAGTACAGCTTGGGATCGTGGATGGAGATACCTCCAGAAGATCTGTTACTGTACAGGACTGTTTTAACAATTCTGGGGGTTTTGTTTTCCACATGAATTTGAGAATTATTCTTTAAGGTTCTGTAAAGAATTGTGTTGGTATTTTGATGGGAATTGCATTGAATCCGTAAGTTACTTTTTAGTAAATGGCCATTTTCACTATGTTAATCCAGCATTCCATGAGCATTGGAGATCTTTTGTCCATCTTCTGAAATTTTCTTCCATTTCATCTTTCAGAGATTTGAAATTCACACAGGTCTTTCACTTGCTTGGGTAGAGTCACACCAAAGTACTTTATGTTATTCTAAAGTGTATTTCCCTAATTTCTTTCTCAGTCATTTTGTCTTTTGTACTTAGGAGGGCTGCAGAGACTGATACCCCAACCAAGGAACATGTATGGAGAGGATCTAAAACCACTGCTCAGATGTAGCCCATAGACTCCATCTCCAAGTGGGTCCCTAGTAAGTGGAGCAGGGGCTATCTCTGACATGAACTCAGTGGCCAGTTCTCTGATCACTTCCCTCTCAGGGTTATAGCCTTACCAGGCCACAGAGCAAGACAATGCAGCCAGTCCTGATGAGACCTGATATGCTAGGGTCGGATAGAAGGGGAAGAGGACATCTCTTATCAGTGGATTAGGGGAGGGGCATCAGGGAGAAGAGGGATGGAGAGTAGGATTGTGAGGAGATGAGTGGGGGGGGCCACAACTGGGTTACAAAGTGAATAAATTGTAATAATAAATAATAAAGTAATAAATTGTAAATTATAATTATAAATAATAAATTAAATTATGGATTATAAATAAATTATAAATAATAAATTAAAATTTTAAAAAAATTTCAAAGTCTTAGTCATCTGGGTTATACAAATAAAAAGGACCCTGAGATTTCACCTTACACCCATCAGAATGCCTAAGATCAAAAACTCAAGTGACAATACATGCTGGAGAGGATGTGGAGAAAGTGGAACCCTCCTCCATTGCTAGTGGGAATGTAACCTTGTACAACCACTTTGGAAATCAATCTGGCACTTTCTCAGACAATTAAGAATAGTGCTTCCTCAAGATCCAGCTATACCACAGCTAGGCGTCTATGTAAAAGATGCTCAACCATACAACAAGGACATTTATTCAACCATGTTCATAGCAGGTTTGTTCATAATAGGCAGAATCTGCACAAGCTAGATGTCCCTCAATGGAGAAATGGATACAAAAATTGTGGTATGTTTACACAATGGAATATTACTCAGCATTTAAAGACAAGGAAATCATGAAATTTGTAGGCAAATGGATGAAGGTAGAAAAGAGCATCCTGAGGAAGGTGACCCAGAACCAGAAAGACAACATGGCCTGTACTCACTTATAAGTGGATATTAGACCTATAGTACAGGACAATCACACTACAGTCCACAGACCCAAAGAAGTGAAGCAACAATAAGGACCATAGGGAAGGTTTTTGATACTCATTTAGAAGGGCAAACAGGATAGACATAGGAACTGGGGGAAAACAGGGAACAGGACAAGTTCCTACTACAGAGGGCCACTGACTGAGATATCGAAACAGAGGCCGAGATTTATTGCCAAACTTTGGGAGAGAGCATAGAATTTTATGAAATAATGGGGAGATAGAAAGACCTGGAGAGGACAGGAGCTCCAAAAGGAGACCAACAAAGCAAAAAGAACTGGTCCCTGAGGGCTCTGCAGAGACTGAGACCCCAACCAAGGACCATGCATGGAGAGGACCTAAAACCCCTGCTCATCTGTATCCCATACAGTCAGTCTCCAAGCGGTCTTCCTAGTAAGAGGAGTAGTGTCTGTCTCTGACATGAACTCAGTGGCAGGGTCCCTGATCACCTCCTGCTGGGGGATTCAGTCTTGCCAGGCCACATTGAAGACAATGCAGCAGGTCCTGAAGAGACCTGATATGCTAGGGTCTGATAGAAAGGGAGAAGGACTTCCCCTATCAGTGCGCTAGATGGATAAGAGAGAGAAAGAGTAGAATTAGAAGGAGAAGAGGGAAGTGACCATAGCAGGGATACAAAATGAATAAATTGTAATAAATAATAAATTAATTAATTGACTAAAAAATAAAGAATAGATACGAATTCAAAAGAAAAGAACATCATAAATGCCATAGATAAGGGTATAAAATTAATTATTTATTTAAATATACATTGAGACAGAAATGAATAATATTAATTTTGACAGTTTTACTGAAATAGCACATGTCAAGTTTAGCTTATTCTTTAAAGGAAATCCCAGGGACAACTTAAGGCCTGTCTTGCCTGCTCTAGAACTAGCTTAGTGAATAGCTATTGAGTAGCCAAATTCTCTTTGAACATTTCCCAAGAAAACCATAGTTTACATTAATATGTCATCCCTAACAATAAAAGAACAAAATTATCAATAAATATAAAAACTCCAGCCCAATGTTTAGGTGTAACAATAGACAACAATTCTGTGATATAAAAACCAAACAAGGTAACCAAAATCCTTCAAATCAGTCATAAACATTTGAATGCTTACATCTACTATAGGAAGAGTGTGAATTGTGTAGTTGTTTTTCATGATTGTGGCAGATGAGTTTCTTGTGCTCAGCCATCCATTTAAATATGTATGTACAAACCAAAATAATAAATGCAACAAGTTCCTTTGATGCACCTACTTGAAAATCAGAAGCCAGTTATGGTGGCTTAGGACTGATTCAAGGAACTCAGAATCTCAGGAAAGGAGATTACTTGGTTAAAGCTATCATGGGTCATGTAGCTCCTCTGAAACTACTCTGAGATACAAGGAGACACACTGACTCAAAAAAATGATGCAAACAACAACAAAAACATTCAGAAAAATTATACAACTCACAGTTATGAGAGCACATTGTAGAATAAGTGACTCACCTACAAAGTAAGTACAGAAGAGGAAATTCCATCAAAAGTGACAACCTTAAAGTTTGCCTTACAGGGTGTCTGTCAATATTTTAACCTTTTATAAAGGAAAACAATACTAAGTGGCTGGCTCTTTGATCACCTCCCCTTGAATGGGGTGCAGCCTTACCAGATCACAGAGGAAGACAATGCAGCCAGTCCTGATAAGACAGGATAGGCTAGAGTCAGATGGAAGGGGAGGAGGACCCCCTCTATCAGTTGGCTGGGGAGAGGCATTGAGGATATGAGGGAGAGAGGGCAGAACTGGGAAGAAATGAGAGAGGGGGCTACAGCTGGGATACAAAGTGAATAAATTGTATTAAATAAATATATAAGTGAAAAAATAGGACAATAGTAACTGACCAGTTTAATTACTTTTCTGATATATCTAAACACTATGTATGCATCTATTGAATCACTTATTTTCTCTTCATGTCATGATATGTAAATGTATTTGAAAAATATAAGGCAAAGAAATTTCATGAAAACATAAGGTACTTCTAATTAAATAAATAAACAAAATACATAAGTAAATGAATAAATTTGCAAGTACAAGTAATATTTCACAGTATTAGCAATACATCAGCGGGCTTTCCCAGAATCTTGACCTTAGGCTAACACACACCTCTCCTTTGCTTGTTATATATACCAGTGCTCACTGCATAGAGTGTATTTTTAAGCATGTGAACTTTGGGTTCCTTCTCATACTATAGGGGCTGGAGAAGTGACCTTTGTTGTTGTTTGTTGCTTTGACCGATTCAGGGTCTTGCTATGCTACTCAGGCTGTCCTCAAAATTATGATATTTTTTCATTTGTCTTCTAAGTGCTGGGATTAATCCCACTCCATTTATCAGGAAAATTGATTTTTTTTCATGTTGATTTCCCATGATCTACTTGGATGCTCACAGAAAAAGTCCAAGCCTGCTAAAGTACCAGAGGAATTTTCAATGCTTGGGAAAGAATTACAATTAAAAGTTTGATTTATGTTCCTGCTCATATATAATAAAACATGATGTCATTCTTTTCTAAACTTTAATATTTTTAAGGTTTCATACCCTTTATCCAAAGCTTTCTTAGAGGCATCTTTCACCTCTTTGTTCCTTAGACTATAGATAAGGGGGTTCAACATGGGGATCACCACTGTGTAAAACACTGACGCCATTTTGTCTGTGTCCAGGGAGTGGTTTGATTTGGGCTGTAGGTACATGAAGATCAGTGTGCCATAGAAAATAGTAACAGCTACCATGTGGGAGCCGCAGGTGGAGATGGCCTTGCGTCGTCCCTGTGTGGAGCGAATTCGCAGAATGGCAGCAATGATAAAGAGGTAGGAGGTGAGAACTATGGAGGAAGAGCAGATCATATCAAAGCCAGCAAAAGCAAAGATGAGAATTTCCTTCATGTGTGTGTCTGAACAGGACAGTGCTAAAAGGGGAAGGTCATCACAGTAGAAGTGGTTGATTACATTAGGCCCACAGTATACCAAGCGAAAAGTGATGATCGTATGGAAAAGGGCAACCAGAAAGCTGTATACATAAGGAACTGCCACTAATTGAATGCATACTCTCCTAGACATCAGTGTTGAATAATGCAGGGGGCTGCAGATGGCCACGTAGCGATCATAGGCCATAGAGGCCAAAAGGAAACACTCTGTGATCATGAAGGTAAGAAAACAGCCCAGCTGTGTTGCACAGGCATAGAAAGGGATGGTGTTGTGCTCCACCACGAAGTTCACCATCATCTTCGGTGTGATAGCGGATGAGTAACAGAGGTCAACAAAGGCCAGGTGGCTGAGAAAGAAGTACATAGGCGTGTGGAGTTGAGAATCAACCCTGATTATAACAATCAACCCAAGGTTGCCTAGGACCGTGACCAGATAGATTGTCAAAAACATCACGAAACATGGGGCTTGGAGTTCTGGCCGGTCTGTGATCCCCTTGAGGATAAACATGGTGACGTAGGAGATATTAACTTCATCCATTGATTCTGGAAGATGGTGTGGGTTTTACACTAGGTGAAAAATAAAAATGACATTTCTCAGTGCCCCAGTCAGGCCTGGGGGAAAGGCTGTGGGTGTTCCTCCTTGGATCCATGCTACCCTGGTAGCAATCTTCCTTCTTCTTTCAGAGTCAGGAGTCATTTTCATACAGAACAGCCTTCTAAAGAATTACTTGGCTGCTTATTTTTAAAAATAATGGAGGTGCTTGTTAAATGAACATATGTTATAAAATATGTAGAGAAACAACATAAAATTTCATAATTTTACTGATAATTTTTAAAAACATGTGAAAGGGGCTGGAGAGATGGCTCAGAGGTTAAGAACACTGGTTCCATAGTAATGGGAACAGGGGCTGTCTCTGACATGAACTGATTGGCCTGCTCTTTGATCACCTTCCACTGAGGGGGGAGCAGCCTTACCAGGCCACAGAGAAAGACAATGCAGCCAGTCCTGAATGAGACCTGATAGACCAGGCTCAGAGGAAAGGGGAGGAGGACCTCCCCTATCAGTGGGCTGGGGGAGGGGCAGGGGTGGAAAAAAGAGAGGGAGGGTAGGATTGAGAGGGGAGAGGTAAGGGAGCTACAGGGGGAATACAAAGTGAATAAACTGTAATTAATAAAAATAAAAATAAATTTAATAAAAAGAACACTGGCTGATCCTCCAGAGGTCCTGAGTTCAATTCCCAGCAACCACATGGTGGCTCAGAACCATCTGTAATGAATTTTGATTCCCTCTTCTGCTGTGTACCAAAACAATGTTCATATACATGAAATAAATTTTAAAAAAAGTGAAAGTAAGGCAGCTAAAAATATATAATCTGCAAGTATAATTGTATTTATAGTCTGTAGTTTTAATTCTGTACTTTTCCCATAATACATATAGAAGCTATGTCAAGGTGATTTGTATATTAATATAGCAATATAATATTACATCATTCATAGCTATTTATTTTCCTATATTCTTCCCCATTTAGGGATTAAGTAATTTATCCTGTAGATACTAAAAGAATTTTAGTATCAGAAATTTGAAAACATTGGATATTTGACATTTTTAAAATGTATTCTTCAAAAATTTAATACATTTATAGAATATATATTGATCATGTATGTACCACTATTTCATCCCTTCAAATTTGCCCTGGCTTCCCACTACAGATGTCTCCCAAATTAATATCTTCTTTTTTTTCCTAACGTAGTGATTCAAATTATTGATGCACGTATGTGCATAGCTATGGGACAAACAACCTCAGGTGTATGTACAACATACCAGAAGCCTGTTATTGTAGGGTCAAGTAGTTTACAGAGACTCCTAATTGCTCAAAACGCTGGAAAGAGTGATGAGGACATTGATTAGACATTTTTTAGAATTATAAAATTCATAATTTATTTAAATTTAAAATTCAACATACTTAAGTGTGTCACCTGAAAAGTAAAATATTTCAGATAGTTAATTATATAAACTATTCTAAATATATGTCATTGTGTTTAAATAACTTAAAAGTACCATAATGCTTGATGTTGGCTGTGTGTTTAATGTTTCAAGGAAATAGTCCCTGTAAATAATCCATGAAAGTACGTACAGTTTAAGCCAGCGGATTTTTGGTTTTGTTTTTTATGTATTTTGGGAATAGAAGCAATACAGAAATGCTGAGAAGACAGAACTTGCCAAATTTCTTTAGGCTGTTTCTGTTCTATCTGTGACAAACACATAACTAAGGAAACTTATAGAAGAAAGCATTTAATTTGGGAGTAAATAGTCCCAGAGGGTTAGAGTCCATGACCATCATGGCAGAAGTATGGCGCAGTGTCCCGACCAGCAGGGCTTCAATGGGGTTCCTAAGGGAGGAGTGCTTTCATGTGTTAAATAGGGTGCCTGCAAGATAACTTAGGGATGTTTTCTCACGGATGCTCTAACACACGGATGTCCTCACAATCTCTCACCCATGAGTTAGGGTCCTAGATAACTTTCACTAAATAGCTTTAGGTCTCCACTAAATGACCTTTGCTCACTATTTGGCTTTGGCCTAGCAAACACCTTTTGTCTCCACTAGATAGCTTTGACTCACTAATTGACTTAGGCTTCAGTAGACAGCTTAGTCTTCACTAGATAGCTTTAGCTCCGGGCAGCGCAGTCAGGTAGGCAAAGCACTAGAGCAGTAGCTGAGAGTTTATATCTGATCCACAAGCCTGAGGCAAGAGTTAACTGGGAATGTCTTGACCTAACAAAACCTCAAAGCTTTCCACCCCTCCTCCATGAAGGCCGCTCTTACTAATCCTTTCCAAACAATTCCACCAATTGTGGACCAAGCATTCAAATACATGAGCCAGTGAGGACCATTTCCTTCGAACAAACAGAATGTATCAACTTTAATTGATTAGATCTATTAACTTTTCCTGTTGTAATTTTTCTGTCTTAAATTCCACTTAACACTGTATGTGAGTTTATCTGAGTATGTGAATTCATACGAGTTTCTTGTCTTTCCTGAGCTGAAGGTTGTCTATTGTCCCTGATTTACAATTGAATAATAATAGAGTAAGAAAGCAGTTAATATTAATGGTCACATAGAGGAGACAATACAGGACTGAATCATTGCTTCTAGTCAGCATTGTGCTGCACAAACTATGTTCTTTCAGCTGTAATTTTGAGAAAACATAGCAACACTAATATATAAATTTATGTTTTTACAGTGTCTAATTTACAACTCTAGATTATCTAAATCAATTCTTACTTTTTTAAAAAAAAGTTCTTTTGTGGCTTCCAATTCATTTCTTAGTTTGTTCTGAAGTTAGTGCAATCTTCATGATTGATTCTTTCTCCCAGCATTTCCACATCTCTGTAAGATTTTAGAGGAAATTCATATAAGCCATTGACATATTTTACTACAGGTTTTGTGCAAAATGAATATTTCAGGCTTCATTGCAATTTACTTACAGCAAGTTTTTCCTATAGACCTTCCTGCACATCAGAGTTACCTCTATTTATTTATTTATCTATCTATCTATCTATCTATCTATTTATTTATTTATTTTAAACAGCCTGATGTAATCCAACAGGGAAACCCTGGTCTTGGGGGTGGCATAGAGAGATCAACATCTTTAAAAGCAAAGAATGTTTTACAAAGTATGGTGAGTCATGTTTGCAGTCTATAGTCTATAGAGCACTTTCACTAGCTGATTGGCAAACAATGTTAAGGCATATTTTCAGTTACTTTACTTCTATTTTTCATTGTTATCTAAGATAGATTGCGATTATTTATGTCTCTGCCAGGCTAGTGGAGTTCAAGTCAAAGATGTAAAATGGCCCAGTAATATGTACAAGAATAGCTTTAAAACAACAAGCTACTTCCACTTCCTCGTTTTCTTTCTGAAATTGTTTCACCATAAAATGCATCAGTAGCCATGGTTCTCAACTCTCTTCCATTTCTAAAATTCACCTTTCTCTGCTGTTTTTAGGCTGTTTCTGTTGAAACAGAAAATTGATATTTCTCTTTCATCATCTATCTACAACCTACTTTTATTGTTTCTATGGCCTAAAACTCCTGTTGCAGCTCAGGACAGCAACAAATGCATGAATGATGTGCCTCAGCCCTCTGTGGGTTGGGAATGCATCTATGTGCTAACATGCTCATCTACAGGTAGAGGAGCAGGTAGAGTTCAAGCTTGATGTTTTCTTTCTTAAAATAAAAAGAAAAACAGAAAGATACAGTATTTTATTTTCCTACTGGTAATAGAAATAAAGGCCAAAGTTTAAGTGTTTGCTTTGTAAGTGTGGTTACCAGCATTTAAATGGAAAGCTCTGATGCTCATAAGATTATTTCAGACATCTTGTTTTTCACAGATCTGTTCCATTCATCACAGAATTATGATGAAAAAATAGTTCTCTTTAGTGAACATTATTGAAAATGAGAAGATAAATTCTAAAAGTCATCTAGTTAACTTAAGGTCATTCAAGGAATGTGTGTATGGTGGGGAGATAGCATAGAAAAATCAAAGGAAAGAGAGAGAGAGAGATAAGGGGTTTGAAAGGTAATAATTCAGGCAAAATAGATATTCTTAGGAAAGCTGTGAAGACATGAAACACAGAATACAAGCTGACTTCATTTAATACCACAGTGCGCCAAAGAAGCTTTCTAATAGGAAATTGGTGTGTAGAACAAGAAGCACCCAACATCCATCTGATTTACCTTCTCAGCAATCAGCTTGTCTTCCAGTGAGCTCATTCTGAAGTTGTCGTGGTGATTTATTATTTCCTAGGTCCCACTAGATTTCAACGTCTCCTGAGGTACCCTGAAGTTATGAAATTTCCTTCTGTGTTTTCTCAATCTAATACAAAATGAACAAATTACATCATGGATTTTCAAGAAATCTCTTGACTAGAATCCTAAAGGGGCACTCTTCACAGCATAACAACTAAATATTTCCATTAAAGCAAATATGAGAAAACTGCAGAAAATATAATAAAATGCAATATTTTGCTCACTGTCATTGTATCTGAGTATGTAAAATCATAATCTATGATCAGATTTTGAAAAAGAAATTATAATTCCACAATTTTTTTAATCTTGGGTAGATAATTTAAATATTTAGTCATTGAAAATTTATGCAATCTTCTTAGAACAAAGTGTGAAAAGTTAATATCTGATATCTTTAAACTAGTTACAGCATCATTAAGGACGTGATGAGTGATCTTCAGGCTAACACTGTGGTCAGGCAAGATTCTTTGCCCCAAGCTTTCCAAGTATTGTATTTTGCTTGATGCTGACACCCAGCATTTAGTTTCACCTTCAGTATATGTTTTTCAAAAACATCTTGACTGACCTTCTGTGTGATATTTTGCTTTAATATCAATTCATCTTTATTAATTCTTTTTATTTTTTTCATCTCTTTGAATGTTACAGTAATTATCTGACATTAATGTATGTAAACATATAGTTCTTATCTTTCCCCATGTATTTTTTTTAATTTTATTTTTCTTTTTATTTA